TCATACAATTGCTCATGTTTCGATTACCGGTCGAGTGTGGGTCTCTATCCTCACATTGATTTTCCCATTGAGAGCTAGGCCCACAAGCAGCACTGCAAAGACAGCATCCATTGTTTCCACTGGGATGGCATGATGATGATCTCACCGGCAGCTGCGTGCCAGCCTCTGCTCCAAGGCTCTCGCTAGACTTCATCAAGTGAGAAGTTGCTGTTAATTACATCCATATTCTGAGCAGTCGTCACTCGACAGGGTGGTAAGACACCAGAATGGGCCAGATTTAAAGATGAAGACAATGGAATGGGATGGAGCGCTTTTGCAGATCACTGGCTTTTAAGTAATGGAAAGCACATTAGCATGGAAAGAAAACAGGACACGCTGGCTTAGCGTCAGATGTAAGCCTCTGCAAAGGGACTCTGGTGTCATTTTCGTGCAGGAAATGTGCAATCAAAGGTTGTCTGGGTGGTCAGCAAGAGCTGTTTGCCTTATAGATTTGAGGAAACAATATCAAGACAAAGGGGGTGTACAGCTCTGTCTCAAAAGGTCCAAAAGGGCCTACTTGTTTTCCTGTCAGTCTACAATGAATTATCTAATTTACTGTAAGGGGTCATCAACAGCGGAAAAGATGAGGAAAGATTTTGTTCTGATAAATAATGATACTTTATTTGGTTTTGTGTTTTTATATAACAGGAAATGAAGAGAAAATAATCCCTCACAGAGCAAAGGCATGCAGCATTATCTTGATTAAATGATTAAACATTATAAGTAATTAGATATAGACATTATTCCTTATGAATACATAAATACAGTTAAAAGACAGATGAACCCAGTGAAGCTAAATTACTGTTATGGGATAAGATATACAAGAGAAGCCCAGTAACGAGGCTTTCAGGTATTGACTGCTGGGCTTTCTCCAAAACAGTTTAAATTATTGATGTTGTGAGCATGTGCAATCAATGGCATCTGCCTGACAGAGATTCAATCTCACAGTTTGTCTTGCGTCTCATTCTTGTTGCTCTTATTGCTGTCGGAACCCATCAAGTTTGTCCTTAAACACATTTGACGAAGTCATTTTTGCACAAAGTCAGCAGTTCCAGAAAAGTTCCAGAGGAGCCGTTACGTCAGACTGTAAACATATCATCCTCTCCCACTGGAGACAAATGTGTTGCACAGATGCAAGTATTTCCATGCCAGTCGAAGTGAGTTCATAAACTAGGAGACAGCTCATTGACTCGTCTGAAGGTCTACCTTCTATTTTCCCTAGAAACCTCTGGCAGAGAACTCCTACTGCTTAAACTATGCTGCTAATATATACAAATCTATCTCTGCATAAGAATCTGGAAAATTCAAGTTTGTTAGCAGGAAAAGTATGAGTGTGAATGGTGAAATATAGAAGGATAAGCTATGGATATTGTGAGTAAATTCCAGATATTAGAAGCTTCCTTGCATCTGTTGTATAGCTGCTGTTTAATAACTATGTTATTGTCAGCTTCATGTTTCAGGAATTGCAAAAGCAGCATTAAATTAGATTACCAGATGGATAATCAACAAGTCATAAAAAAGAGCAAACATGCTAATGGAGCTAAATATAGTAAAATGCTGCAGTAGAAAACAGCAAAGTTAATGTAATAACCGGTATAACCCTAGTTGAGCATGACTTTATGGGAATAAAATTATGCTGTTTTGCAGAAATTCAAGTAAGTGTCACAAGAAAAATTGATGGCAGAGACTGCAGCATCAAAAACGTCACGGGTGCAAGAGTTAAGCGCTCTCCAGTCAAAAAAGTACTGCCAATATCAATATTAATTGCATGCAGACATTGATAAGGCTGTTTTAAGAAATCGAAATGCCTAAAAAAAGACTAGAGTTGGCACTGTGGCATGTGATAAAGATGACTGAAATGACTGAAGACATACAGAAAAGGCAGCTTGTTTTCAGCAATTCCTAGCTCATTTTTCTTCTGTCTCTTCAAGCCATGATTCCCCTCAAAAGACATCTGTCTATCTCTGTATTCACGAAGGGCCTGATTAATGACCTGGCTAACCCAGCACTCAATACTGAACCACACTACACCAATCTAATTAGCCAGTGAAGACTGCCCAGGCTGTAGCATCTTGTCCTCCTTCTCTCCATGCATCTGAATGAGGAAACATTAAAATGGATGGACAAATCTGGATCACGTCCAGAGTAAAAAAAAGAAAAATCAAAGCGAAGGAAAAGGCCTTGGAGTCAAAGGCTGCCTATCATGAATAATAAAACTGTCTGGCTGAAACTGGAGTCAGAAAATGATCATGAAATATAAAATGAATTGATTGCTATGCATCTGACTGCGCACTGAAATGATTTGTGCATGCCAGGAGGGCTTGTTGAAACACTGCTGACATGCTTAATGAAAGAGAAATGAGAATTTCTACTCTTTTAATACCACTTGCGATGACTGGAGCTCAACTGCTTAACATAAGAGCAACTCATTCCTACGGAAAAATAGAAACCATCAGTCAATCAAAAACCCTACTCCTACATTTTAGATTAGAAAATTCAAAGCTGGGTTGATGCATTATTGGACACCTTTGTAAAGCTAGATTTAAATTTCAAGTTGAAATCTTACACCTGATCAATACAGGAACAGCATCAGGTAGGGGAACTAATCATTTGGATTTATAATGCCCTAGCTAAAGCAGAGCAGCCTTAAAATCTCTCCGAATGTGGATATTAACAATGAAAGTTCCCATTAGTGAGACGTTTCTTAAACTGAAAAGTGGCCACATTTCTCCTTAACCCACTCAGATGCATGGTGAGATCCTCTGCAGGACAATATGGATCCTGCCAAACCCTTCCACTCAACCAGAAAAGAAAACACATGGACAGACACAGAGCACCACAGGACACATACAACTGCGCACAACTGCGGTTACACACCGATTAAATTAGCTTGAAGGAATAACAGTGGCCCCCAGGAAAATATTTTCATTGCAATAATAAAGCAAAAGCTTGGTTATGTTCCTCTCCAAGCAAATATTTGGCTTTGGGTCAGCTCCATGATTTGTCCCTCGAGATGTCTATTGCGGCTATTTAAAAATGAAGCATAAGATGCTGAAAAAAGAGGAATTAAGGGAAAAAAAACTGCCTAAGTGTTTATAAAACTTAGGGGCCTTGGGTTAATAAATCAAAGACAGAGAAAATACATGGAGGAAGGGCTGTGGTTGTGGTGTCACTAGGGTGTTCGTTGTGATGTGAGTGGACTCGATATACGTGTCTTATCCCCATCACGAAATAACGGAACTAAATCCTTAATCTTCCCACATAAAGTTCCCTTGGTGGGTGATGATCGCTCTGTGAAGATAAGCCAAGAGAAAAAAAAAATAAAACATGACAAAGCCTGAGACAGTTTCTGTGCTAGAGACTGTGTGTGTGTGAAGCTTGGCAGAATGCCTGGATTAAATCTGAGCATCTCCGGAGGCAGTCTCAGTTCTAAAGGAAGCGGAAAGTTATCAGGTAGGACTAGAAGTCAGAGGGAGATGTAAGAAATAATAATGATAAATAAACTATATTGATCTCACACTGGAGAAATTTACCTCTGCCTTTAACCCATCCCCTTGGGGAGAAATGGGCTGCCATTGTGCGGCGCCCAGGGAGCAGTGAGGGGTTAAGGGTCTTGCTCAGAGTGTCATGATCTGGCCTGTTTGCTCTCCCTTAATTAGTCATTCCTTCCACCTGTGGTTTTCCCTCCCTGCCTCAATTATAATTTATTCCTCTCACCTGTTTCCTCTTGGTTATATTCAGTTCAGCCCTAGCATTCAGGGCCAGATCATTATTTGTCTTTCTGTTAGCCTGTCTGTTTTATTCCTTGGTTCATGTCCTGGATCCTGGCAGCCATTTTTGTGTTTGTCTCGTCTCCTGATCGTCCACTGTTCCTCCCCCGCAGAGTCCTCTGGGCTTTTGGCTCTATATGTGGGGAGGTTCAGTCTTTATTACAGTAGGCCTGGCTCCAGGGAGGAGACCAGTTAAAAGTTCCTGCATAAAGTTCTGGTTCCACGTCCTGTCTCGCCTACCCTCTTCCACTGAGCCTGCTCATCAGCACCTGATCCTGTCTGCTTCTGTTCTGTTCCTAACTCTGTCAGACTCTGAACCTGTCTGGGAGCTTGTTGATGCCTGGACGTCTGGATCCTGCCACCTGTTCTGTTCCTGCCTGATCTGGATCCTGTTCCTGTCTGTTCTGGATCCCCAACCAGGATCGGCTTCCAGCATGACCTCTGGGTAAGTGGCCAACTCAGAAAATCATCTTCTGTCAGATGATCGTGGTCACTTACCTGTGTCTGTGATTGGGCGGTGCCTCACTCCCCATCCTGCAGTGTCCACAAGCCATAGCTCCACTTTAGTTTTTGTTTATTTAATAAACCTTTTTGAACTTTCCTACTGACTGTCTCTTCTTGAATACTGGGTCCATCTGTCCGCGTTTCATGACACAGAGACCCGTAGTGCAGGCCGTGGGACCAGGTATTTGCAATCTTCTCAAGCCCACTGCTCTAACACACTAGGCCAACACTCCCCCAGGAAGAAGACAGGCAGAGAGCGACAAAGAGGGTGGACACATCAATGCAAAGGGTTCACTATGTTAGGAGGAAGGGCATTCTGTTGGGTTAAGAAAGTGGGGCAGGACATGTTTTTGTACATAAACATTGCTTCACTAGGCTAGTGGTCTTTGTCAAGGTAGAGTTTTACCCATCCATTAGTAAATCTGTCAGTTTTGTATACCCGCTTAATCAATGCTGACAAAGAGAGCCTGGATAAGTGGCGAGAGGCAGAGTAGACCCCAGACAGAAAGCCAGTTCATCACAGGAAAGAGACATAAACAGGAGAGACAACCATACGCTCACACATTCATACCTAAAGGCATCACCAATGAACCTAACATGCTTTTGCACAACCTTCTTTCAAATTAACACGATAGAAAATGCGATTAATTTCTGATGTTATTTCTTTCCCAAGAAAGGAAATGTTACCTGAATCCACTCCTTGTTGGAGTCGGCTGCTGGAGTCCACGCATTTTCATAGTAGTTGAGTCTGGAGCGCTCTGGGGACCAGCTGGGGTTGTACTGGGATGAAGCCATGATTTGGTCTGATGTTATCTCTCCCGACTCCATTCCCAGTGGGTCGCTGCAGTCATAGTCTGAAAAGCAGAGGAGGATAGATAGGAGATGAAAAGGAACTCAGAAAAAAAAAGATACGGGAGACAGTGAGAGACTTTCAGCTGAATTTTAAGCGACCAGTGTGTTTAAAGAATGTGTCTTTTGTGTCCACTCCTTAAATCCAAGCAAATCTCCAGGGTGAAGGCCTCTGCATGACTGGCCAAAAAAAAAAAAAGCACATCAAGGGTGCCTCTGCAAATCTCCCAGTACTTTTTAATAGAAGCTGGATGGAAGCATAAAAATGTCATCATAAAACATTCAGTGTGGTTTATGCTCATATTAGGCGTTAGGGTGACTTTTGCTTCAGTTATTTTTTCCACTCACTAAATATATTACCCCTACCTCCCGTAGGGAAGCTTATCTTTTTTCACAAACTGCAAAGCTCTCTTGGTCCAAGCAAGAGTACGTCAGTGTCAAGAAGGTAGCTGTGTGTCTTAACAATCATTAATGTTCTTTTTGCAATCCTGAATTATACATTTCGATGCCCTAAATATAGCCATGAGCTCGCATGTAGTTGCACACTTGGAGGCCTCTGGATGAGGAGCATTGAGAGGAGCCATGCGGCCGCCGCCTGAGAGCTAACACAGATGGTCTCCCCATCTGCCACACCGCCAGCACACCCTTACTCAATGGGTCATCGTGTGTACTTCTAGCAGTCTTTATGCGCAGCTGCACGGGTTCATGCTCGCCAGTACGTCAGAGGCATCACACATGACTGATAAACTGTCTCACAGCCGTTTGCTCCGACTACGTGAAGAAACATCTACTGATGAACCTTTCTTAGCTGGCTGACATTATCAACCACAGATCCTCCAAAACACAAAGAGGCATTTGTTTTCTGCAGAGGTTATATCTAGTTACAGGGGTTACCAAGCGTGGTCAGGATTATTGGTTAGAAAACACTGGCTGGGTATATTGGAATAAGAGCAAGGGACATGAAAAGCAAAGAAAATGCATCTTTTCTGCACCCATGGGGGATTTTTAGCTACCCTTTCCCTCATTATGCATTATGCATTATGAAAGATTAAGTTGGCACAAGCTTTAAAAAGGCAAAGGCACAAGTTTGGAGACTTTCTATCTCAAAAACATGTTAAGTAATCATGTAATACTAAGCCACTCACACTTTGATCGAGGTATGCACTAACGGCAGGTCAGGTCACATCCTCTGTTCCTCTACAACCAAGGATGTGGAGATACTATTCGCAAAACCTGATCCCGGATGTTTGATTAAATGCGGTGGTGTAAATCTTAGAATAAAACCCCAGCAGTCACAGCTCAGCTCATCACTGTGAGGCAGCCTTGTTCCTCTTGTTTTGTGTGTGCTTCAACAGCATCTGCTTTCCCCTTTGGGCAAGACAGAATCCCTTTTGGAGATGATTAGTAGACTTGTTGAAAGTCATCCACCTCTGCTGCTATTCAGAGACGGGCTGTGCGTGTGGGTGCGGGTCCTTGTGTACGGGGTGGTCTAGCTGCCGGACAGATTTACGAGCCTTACCAGAGCTCGTCTTCCTTAATGAAATGTTTAGATGGAGAGTTTTTCAAAATGGGGTCATTGGGGTCGAGCACTGTGACAGGGATGTGGCATGTAAAAAGCCCTGGGGGTGATCGTGAAAGTGTGTGTTCAGGCAAGTTACTGACAGAGGCTGTCGAGGCTAACTTGTTGCCTGTAACCCATCACTGAGATGAAGAAGCAAGAGGTGTTCGTTTAATAACTCTTAAACTGTTTAACAAGCCATAATTTGTCATAATTGACCAACATTTACTTTCTACCTGGATTATTACTCCTCTGGTGCTCCCATCTGCCCCCCTTAAATTCTTAAACACGTCTTAACTTGACTTTAATCTCCTGAACTTATTTTAACCTCTCTAGACTTTTTAAAGTTTATTTTTTTTACCTCACAAATTATCTGTCTGGGCCTCAGGTATCTAAACGGTAGTTTTGTGGAGCCTACCCAGCAGCTCAATTAATATTGATTTGTTTTGAAAGGCAATATCTTTAAAGACAATATAATCTGTTTTTACCAAAACCTGGACAAAGCCATCCAAGGTAAAAAGTAGAAATAAATGAAAGGAGAACAGCACTACAAAAAAACATCTAGAAATAAGTGAAAAATGTCTTGAATTAAGTGTATTTACCCTTAATTTGAGCAGGTAAATAAGATGACCTGCCAATGGAATTAGTATTTTTACTCCTAAAATAAGATAATTAGCTAATATATACTTGAATTAAGACAAAACTATATATTTTTTTCTTATTTTAAAGGTAAATTGTCTCGTTCC